GGGGGGGGGGGGGGGGGGGGGGGGGGGGGGGGGGGGGGGGGGGGGGGGGGGGGGGGGGGGGGGCACACACGGAACATCTTGTGTTACAGTTGAAATGTGAAAACATGAGGGGGACACAGACGGAAAGTATTGGTGCGGAGGAGTTTTTGGGCGTGTTGCTGTTGCTGTTGCTGAGTACTCTCTTGCCTATAAGGTCTAACCACGCTCTGGCCTCTGCGACTACTAGTGCCGTAGCACATGTCGCTCGCATACACGTTGCACGCTATGTTGGTCGTACACGAATACACGCTAATATACAAACGTCATCGCGGTCGCGAGTTGACGCCATTCACGACAGAGCTTGTCGAGCTTTGTGCAAAACGGAAGAAGTCAAGTTGGATGCTTTTTTGTTCTCTTATCCTTTCTCATCTCCGCTCTGTTTCGGTTTCGGTCGGTTGTCTTTCAAGCCGACTGCGAATGGAGGAGTGATTCGTTCTTCTTCGACAGGAATGATGCTACCGGGCAGAGGTGATCGTTCTTGACATGGAAGCGTGGGAAAAAGAGAGCAATCCGTCTCCGGCATCACCCACAACAGGACACGACGACAACAACGAAACAGCACCAGCAGTATCAACATCAAGATCAACGGAGGCAGCGACAGCCGCAGCAGCAGCGGCAGCAGCAGCAGCAGCAACAGCAACAAATACCCGTTTCCCCACCTCTCCTTGGCGGTTTTTCTGTCCTCTTCATCCTTCGCCGCTTTCTCTGCTGCGTCCCGCTTGCGCTTCGCACCGATCTCCCTGCACGAAACCGGGTAAGTACACAAGAAACGGAGAGAGACCACCTCAGGACCGAACAACCAACGAACGGATACCAACATCGAGCAAGGTGTCATTAAGGACCAGAAATTGAAGATTTATACGGGGTGGTGGTTGTCGTTCTTCACTATTAATGGTCGTTGTGCTTCTGAGAAAACGTAGCGCGGCAAGACGTAGACTAGTAGTACACCCGGGCGAAGAATGCGGCACATAATGATGAGAGAACCGGATGATTGGAAAACATCTAAGTCGCGCAAGCAAAAAAAAACTGTGTTCTGCAGCAGAGCAAGGCTCCATTCTCGTGTGAACACGCTACGCAATCGGAGCGGTTTTGTTCGGAAAGTAGCGGGATCAAGAGCGAAATCGCTCGTTATTTCTGTATCCGGTTTGCCGTGGAAGACGATCAAGATAAGAGAAAAAGGAGTTACAACCCCCCCCCCCCCCCCC